AATTGATGCTTTTGAACTGTGGTGTTGGAGAAGACTCTTGAGAGTCCCTTGGACTGCAAGGAGATCCAACCAGTCCATCCTAAAGGAGATCAGTCCTGGGTGTTCATTGGAAGGTGTTCATCACCAGTCCCATTCACAATTGGGTGTTGTTTTTGCTTTGGCTCCATCTCTTCATTCTTTCTGGAGTTATTTCTCCACTGATCTCTAGTAGCACATTGGGCACCTACCAACCTAGGGAGTTCCTCTTTCAGTGTCCTATTATTTTGCCTTTTCATAATGTTCTTGGGGTTCTCAAGGCAAGAATACTAAAGTGGTTTGCCATTCCCTTCTCCAGTGGACCACATTCTGTCAGACCTCTCCACGATGAGCTGGCTGTCTTGGGTGGCCCACAAGGCATTGCTTAGTTTCATTGAGTTAAACAAGGCTGTGGTCCATGTGATCAGATTGGCTAGTTGTCTGTGATTGTAGTTTCCAGTCTGTCTGCCCTCTGATCCCCTCTCTCAGTGCCTAATGTCTTACTTGGGTTTCTCTTAACTTGGACGTGGGGTCTCTTCATGGCTGCTCCAGCAAAGCACAGCTGTTGCTCCTTACCTCCGATGCAGGGTAGCTCCTCTTGGCCACCGCCCCTGCCCCCGGCCCTGGGGCAGCTCCTCCGGACCATGACCATGCTCGGGTGATGTCGCAGCCGCCGCTCTCCTGCGCCATCTAGCATATGATCCGTATATTCTACATCTGGGTATTCAACAAAGAAAAAATCCACTATGTCAAAAAAATATATTTACTCCTATGTTCACTAAACATCATTTACAATAACCAATATACAGAGAGAATTTAAGTGCCCAGTCAACAGATAAACAGATAAAGATGTGATATTGATAAAAATATTTACATACAAAGTATACACACATACATAATGGAATATTGCTTAGCAATATCAAAAAATGAAATCTTGCCTTTTGTGGCAACATGGATAAACTAAGAGGGTATTATGCTAATTGAAATAAATCAAATGGATAGAGAAATATTATATTATTTCACATATGGGGAATCTAAGAAGCAAAAGGAAATGATAATAAACACAATATAAACAGAAAGAGAGTCACAGGTATTGAGAAAAATAGGTAGTTGTCAGTTGTCAGAGGGGAGTGCACTGGGGGCTGAAGGGAAATAAGGTGAGGGAGCTTAAGAGGTATAAACTTTCAGTTACAAAATAAAAGGATCACAGGTATGAAATGTACAGTGTGTACAACATAGTCAATAATCATGCAATATCTTTGGATGGTGACAGGTAAAAGCTAGATTTATCATGGTTTTCATTTTAAAATATATAGAAATATTTAATCACTATGGTTGCACCAGAAACCAACATACTGTTTGTTGTAGTCATTTATATTTCAAAAGCAAAGTCATAGAAAGAGAGATCAGATTTGCAGTTACCAGGGAGAGGTGGGTGGATGAAAGTAGTTGAAAGGTAAAACTTTCAATTATAAGATAAATAATTGTACCAGGTTTGTAATGAACAACATGTTAAATATTATTAATATATATATTGTATGTGAAAATTTTTCAGAGAGTAAATTCTACAGAAGTTCTCATCAGAAGGAAAAACTTTTTTCTATTTCTCTAAGTTTGTGTTCTATAGTATGATGGAAGTTCAGTAAACTTATTGTAAATATTTCATGATATATGTAAGTCAGATCACAGTGCTGTATGTTAATTATTTCTCAGTGAAACTGGAAAAGAAAAATGAGGTAAGGAATAGCAATTGTTGGTGAGGATGTGGAGGAAATGGATCCTCATTCATTCCTGATGGGAATGTAAGAAAATACAACCACTTTAAAAAATACAGTGTTAAGTTATTGAAAAGTGCAAGATAACCTACCACAGGAAGTATCCATTCCACTATTAGGTGTTTAACCAAGAAGAAAAGAAAAAGACTTGTACAGTAATGGTCATAGCACCACTTTTCTTAATAACCCCAAAATGGTAACAATTCCAGAGTCCATAAACATGTTAACAAAACAAAGCATAGTATATGAATACAAAATGGAATACAATTAAACATTAAAAAGTAATGAACTACTG